TGCAAGGATCCTGGTGTGATGGGACCCGATCCCAACATTTTTCTGGTCGTTCAGGCGTGGTCCTTGCCAACAAACAATCCTCCTACTTCTGAAAATGAAGCCCAACCTCTGAGGAGCTGTGATTTATTCTGGTTCCAGTCAGACTGCTGTGGGTAGCAGGTGGTGTGTCCATGTCTGCTAGCGTCTGCAAGCCCCAGTATCACCTGAACAGTGCCAAGCAAGGTGACAGTGCTCCATCCACACTTGGGTTTGAGTCCTTGCTGGTCTGAACAGTCTTTGCTTGTCATGTTCACCAGTGTCCTCAGCTTGTCCAGAAGTTGGCTCATCAACCAGCAAGGTCATAGAATCACAAAATGGTTTGGATTTGAAGTGAGCTTAAGGACCACCCCGTTCCACCCTGTGCCATGGCCAGGGACACTTTCCACTGTCCCAGGTTGCTCCAAGCTCCATCCAGCCTGGCCTTGGACACTTCCAGGGATGGGGCAGCCACAGCTGCTCTGGGAAACCTGTGCCAGAGCCTCACCCCCCTGAATAAACCCTAAGAAAATTAGACTCAACAACTGGGAAATCACATCAACTAGTTCAGGATTGCTCCATGTGCACCAAAATTTGAGCTCTGACTAAGGTTGCCTCCAAGCTGCTGTGAAGCAGCACCTTGCTGTAGGAAAGCCAATGAAATCCAGGGATTTTGTTTGAAGGCAGGAGCTGATGGAGAGGCAGGAATAGACAGATGCTGACAGGCAAAGCCTGAAGCCATTGTGATCTGGGATCTCAGGGTCCCTGTGATCTTGTGGACTGAGGTCCAGCTTCACAGACCTCAGTCAGTCACCCTGCAGCAGACCTGGGATCCAGGCAGATCCCTGCACTCCACTCACACCCTGGAAAGCAGCATGTGTAGGGAGCAACAGTGTCTGCCCCAGGCTTTTAGGACCATGGAGTCAGGAGATGACTGATGACTGGTCTGCAGAGTTGTTCCCTCTTTTCAATGCTGTTGACATAAATCATGCAGTGACCTCTTGGAGCAGAATGTATTTGCCATCCTTGGAGAGGGCCTGGAGCCCAGGCCTCCTGCTGCGAGTGCTCTCAGTGAGCTGCAGCATTGTCTTCCCTTTTCTTATACAAGAACAGCATCCCAAAGGGCAAAATGCCACAATTGAGACAGGGAGGGAGCCAGTAGCCCTGTCCCAGCTTTGCACATGCCCTGCTGTCCTCTGAACCTTTTTGCCATCCTCCTGTTACAGCACTGCTGGGGCACCCTGGTGTGGAGCATCCCCAAAAACCAGGTGCCACAGAGAGCAGGTGTGATCCTGCAGGTGTATAGGGGTTTCCCTGGCATCATCCCCCAGCTTTTGGTACAATTATTTGAGCTCTTCCCAAAATCACATTGTGTGTTGTTGATGAAAAAAAAGATAACATGCAAGGGTGGTTTAATGTGATAGGTAAGGATTGACTGCAGTGAGTAGGGCCTGACAGGGGCTGTCCTTGATACCAGATTTTAAAGAGAAGCCATCCTGGGACATCCAAGGATAGACACAGATAAATGTCTTCTCCTGCTAAAACCTGAGCTCCCTGTAAGAAAAGCTGGAGCTTTGCTGAGCTTGAGGCTGAATGAAGAACTTCTTGTTTAATACCAGGGTGGCCCTGTCCCTAGAATATTATCAAGCTCTGTTTGGAATTGGTTTTTAGCTTCTCTGTGTCATGCTCTGATGATGAGTTACTGGATTCATTATGTGCAATGTGAAGAAGTGCTGGTTCTTGTCCCAGTATCTGAGAACTTCTCTGGCTGCCCTGCTGCTGTGAAAAACAGCATTGTCCACCACTCCAGTGGTTTTTGAGGTCTCTGAAACATCTTCCTTAAATACTGTTTGTCTGCACCAAAATGGCATCATTTTGGAACCAGTCCATGCTGATGGTGGTCTGGAAAGTCTCTCAGTCTGTTTTACTGGTTGGAGAAGGGACTTGTAATAAATGGTAGGCAGCCGGATCCAGCAGAAGTGTGACAATGGGCTTTGCTTTAATACTGACTTCAAATACTTCCAATTACCAACACTAAACACCAGTCTCAGATTTCAGAGAGCCACTGAGATTCAGTGTTTGTCCCACCAAAACCCTGAAAGCATTTTCTGAAGCCCCACTCCATATCTCGCTGTGTTCAGATCAGCATCTTCTTGATTTTCAACAGACATGAATTATTATTCCACTTCACTGGGCTGCAGGACCCAGTGTTTTATGTCCCCAGCACACCTTGGCTGCAGAAACCAATCCATACACAGGAGCAGGAGCCCCAGAGGTTGTGCTGCTCCTTGTGGGACAGCTGCCCACGTGGATGAGGTTTCCCATGCCAGGGGGCTGCAGAGAACACCCGTGGGATCCATCCCTGGGGCTTTCACTGGGGCCCCTTGCACAGCATGGAAGGGGAAGCACAGTCCAGGATTATGGACTTGCAGGGCACATTCACACCAGGCACAGGTCCCCTGTGGCTGACACTCATCTCAGAGGGGTCCCAGCAGCCTCTCAGCGTGTCCCCCATGGGAACAGGCTGTGGCTGCAGCAGCGAGGCAGCTCCTGGTGCTCGGAGCTCCCTGCACTTGACCCGTGCCACGGGCAGCAGGAGGGGAGAAGATCCCGCAGGGAGGGGAAGAGGGAAATGAGAGTGGCAGGGTGGTGTGAGTGGGGTACAAGAGAGGAGCTGAGGGGACAGGCATCTGTGATAGTCAGAGTGCCAGAGGCTGGGAGTGGCCCTTGTGAGCACTGGCAGCCCTGGGGCCCCCTGGGCTGCCCAGGGACCAGCTGTGCACAGGAGCTGCAGGAGGAGGACATGGCCGGGGGAGCCACATCAATGCCACTCTTCTACCACCCCTGCAATTTCTATCTGAGGTTCCCCACAGGTGAGGGTTTGGCATTTCCTCCTCCTTCTGCCTGTTGTCATCTGGCTGCTCTGCTGCTGCCCCGTGTCCTGTGGGGCAGGTGGGACAGTGTGGCCTGGCCAAAGCTTGCCCAGCATCAAGAGGAACAGAAGCATCACAGCTGGTGTCCTGCTCCTCACACCTCCTACAGCCACCCCCAGGGTCTCTATTCTCTCCCAAGAACCCTTCTGTCCTGCCCTGGCTCTCCTGTGATTCCCACTGCCTAGGCAGAGCTGTAAGCCAATGCTCAGCAGTATTTGTCCAGCTGTTTATCCCTGTTCATTTATGGAGCCTTTCCCTCAATTTCCCTGTAGAATTCTGCATTTCCCAACTGCTCTTCCACACCAACCTCTCTCTGCACCCCTCCTCATGTGTGCAACTTGTTGGCAGAAATGCCAGGTGAGATGCTGTAGATCCTTAATCATGTTTTTCATTTGGAAGGGAATCATTTAAGTGTGGCCTCTCTGCTGCCCTTTTGTACCAAACACATCTTCTCTCCTGAACTAAATGTCAAAATTTAACATTTTACTAGAAGAAAGCTTAAGTCATAGTAGCTGGTGTCTATTCTTTCTTCTCCATTCTTATGGTCTTTTACCTTCCTTGTACAGAAAAAAAACTTTGGCACAACTCTTTTTTCACTAGCTACCATTGACAGTTCCTCATTTCCTTGCTCTTTCCTCTGTGTTCATACAAATAATTTAATGCTAAGTCTCCATTTTCTTCCAGAAGTCAAAAGAGTTCTGTGCTCTATAGCTTTCCTTTTTTAAAGGCTGTCTCTTTCCAGCTTTCATGTCAGATCTGTGACTCTTTGGCAGTGAGGCTGCAGTCACTGCAATGGGAAGGTTTCTTGCCTATGTCCATGCTCTTCTTTGGGCTGCCCCTCACCACTAAAGCCATGCCCTGCTCCTTTGACACTGGCAGTAAATTATGATAGGACCCTGCTCACCATCTCCTTCTGCATTCCATCTCCAATCACTCTTAGAAGGTTTTGTAAAGACTAACCTCATATATGTAAACATTTAGTTTTTTAGGCACTTCCCCTGGCCCAGCTACCCTGCTGGGATGTGTCTGTTATCCAGGGGAGCATGTGTCAGTGATGTCCCAGTTCTGGAAGGAACAAGTAGGTTCAGGACAGAGGCATGTCCAGAGTCAAGACAGCCTTTGCAGAGATGCTGAGATGATGACACCAGTAAACTCAGATGTGTGGTGCTCCAGTAGGTCAGTGAGAGAGGATTGTGTCTGACCAAGTCTGAAACACCCCTTGGAGTGTGGTTCTCACTCTGCCTCCATCCCTAGAGCTGCTCACCACCCCTGGGTGCGCTGTCACCTTTGTCTCCTCTTTTCCCATCACTCCTTTCCCATCATCTTTTCCCGTGTTGTAGGTGTCTCCATGTCCATGGCCCTTCTCCATGCTCTACACTCACTTCCATCTCTGATGGGTCCTCCTGGCTCCTGCTCAGCCCAACAGCCCCAGGCACTGCTCCCTCTGGATCTCTGATTTGGCTTTTCCCACAGCAGATCCCAGTTCCTGCTGCAAGGCTGTGAGGTCCCTGAGCAAACAGCTGGGAGCAGCTCCTCACCCACTGTGCCTGCAGGGTTGGCAAGCTGCCCACGGGCTGCTTTCCATCCCTCTGGAGGGAGCCACGGACACACACAGGCAAAGGATGCCTGACTCCAGGATGGACGTGGCACAGCCTGGCTCAGAGCACTGCTGTCAGTCTGGGATGCACACCTGCAGGGTGTCCCCTTTGTGTGGACATCCTCCCCCCACTGCAGCACCAAACTCACCCCTTGGCCCTCCTGCAGCACGTCCTGGGCCACACTGGGTTGCAGCTCACCTGCTGGCCACCTTAAACTTGCTTAAGAGCCCTGGCTGGCCAACATGGTGCTTTCCAACCGCTCCAGCTTTCCAGCAAGAGCCCAGAACAACTTCAGAAACAAGCAGCAATATCCTCCATTTCGTGTCAGGCTGTTGTTGTTGGGTTTTTAACAAAGTTTTCTTTTTTCTAATTATAGGATGTTGCAGAACAATCAGCTGAGCCGCATCCCCGCAGAGGCACTGAGAGATCTTCCAAATCTCCAATCTCTGTAAGTCATTAAAAATCAATGCTGAGAGCTGCACAGTCCCTTGGGGACCCCAGGCTTCCCAGCATTTGAGTCATTAGTTCCTTTGACAAGGATGTTCTGTTCCTTCTTCCTTTTCTTTTCCAATTTATGCAAAGATTACTGTCACTTAGAGTGGAAGGGAGGGGAGGGCAGTTTTCAAGGAAGAAACACTGTCTTGGTAGAGGATGTTGAAATTACGGCTCCCCATGTGTGCATTGTGATGAAAAGGCCACCAGAGCCAATGCATATTTCAAGGAACATTGGAAAATATCCACCCAAAGAGTGTCTGTCCTCTGCAGAGGACCACAGTGGGGAAGGGACCTGCCAGCAAGCACAGAGGACACTCTGGGCTGTCAAAGTGCAAGCTGGGCTGTTTGACCCAAATGGAGGATAATTGTGTCAGGGTAGAACTGCTGTAAAGACTTTTAGTGATTCAGCCCTGGGAAGAAGCTGAGGCTGTGGCTGTGCTTTTCCTCTAAAGGAACTATACCCACAGCAGGTTTGTGCTCCTGTGTTCCCTAAAAATCACACGACTTTGGAATTTTACTGTTTTGCTGAGTATGAGCACAGTTGAGACCAGACCCTGGGAGTGCCAGTGAATTTAGGGAAGGTGTGTTTGGTGCAGAGAGCACAGCTGAAGCTTGTAAGAGCATTCTGATTTGGGCTGAAAATCTGACCTTATCCCTTAATCCTTAACTTCAATCCTAGTCTTACACAGCCCTTTTATCATAGGGATAAGCTGGGTTTAGCTGGGAGCAGTTTCTGGGAGTCCCCTGCTTGGAGCAGGACTATCCCAAATACTCAGGGGGGCAGTTGCAGCTTTGTCTATCCAAGCACAGATATTCCCCTCTCACTGATAGCCTGGGGCTGTTCTCAAATCCAACCTAAAACTCCTGGAAGGCAATTTGTGGTCATTACTCTTTGTCTGATCATCTGGAACCACCCTGAAGGGCTTGGCTCCATCATCCTTGGTTGCAGGTCCCTGGCAGTTCTCCTCTCAGCCCCTTCTCTGCTGAGTGAAACCAACCCTGCTCCTTTCACCTCTGCTCATGGGGAAAATGCCCTGGGACCCTGAGTCAGCCACCAGCCCTCCACTGGACCTGTCTCATTCCACTTCATCCTTCTTACAATGGGCACCCCAAAACTGGGCACAGTTCTCCATGTGTGGCCCTCCCAGTACCCAGTAGGAGTTTCTGTAAATATTAATTTAAATATGAATTTGTAGTGGGGGTGTTTGCTGTGCAGGATATGAATGTTCTTTCTGCCAGAAGAGATTTGAAACATTTGTTGTTGAAACATCATTGGCACATGGTTGTGGTTATTATTAAATTGTGTTGGCATCGTCACCAGTGCCAGAGTCAAGACCCCTCACTCCAGGGATTTTGAGATGAGGTTGTTCTCCAGGTGACTTCTCTTTCAAGGCAGGTGTGACAGGGAAGGTCACTGCCCCAGGAACACCCCTTCCCCCTCAGCCTGTCTCTCCTATGCCTTTCAAGTGTGTGACAGCCAGTGCCACCAGGGCCCAGGGCTGCAGAGAGCCAGCCTCAGTTTCTGGAGGTTCAGCTGCCAGCACAGCCACCACGGCAGCTCTGGCCACCAGTCCTGGGACATTCACCACTGATGGGTGGCGACCTGGGCCAGTGCTGGGAGGTCCACATGGTCCAGCTCCTCAGCCCACAGCCCCTGCCAAAATACCACAGGACACGTGAGAAATGCATAACACCCCAAGAAGACACTTGCAGCACTTTGGGGGTTGTTCAAGGAGCAGGGGGGAAGATGGCTTGTGTGAATTAGCAGAGGTACCTGCTCCTAATTCACTTGGAGGCCACCTCATCCAGGGTGTATTTCCCAGGTGTCTCCAAAGTTGGGTCAGTGGCCAGCTGGGATCCAGTGCTCTTCCTGCAGAAACTGAATAGTAAGACCTAATTTTAGAAATAAGTTGCTTTAGACATCCTGAGGGAGACTAGGCTTGGAATAAAATCAGAGGGCTGAGTGTCTGGGCAGGTCTGGCTCAGACATGCCTGTCACAGCTTTCAGCAGGACAGCCACAGCAACCAGAGGCTGCTCTAGCCAGCTGTGTCCTATTTGCCCCCAGAACATGCTGTCCAAGCTGGTCGTTTCCCACCCACGGTCTGAGATGACTGAGCAGCGACCTCCTGCCTTTCCTGAGCAGCCTTGTCCTGTGAACCAACCTGTCTGGGCTGTTATTGCCCTCTTGAGTTTCCCTCAGCCCCTCACCCCTGCAGTTAAGCCAGATCTTTCTCCCCAGCAGTGCACAGGCACCTGTGCCTGCTCCCTCTGGGCTCCTTTGCTCCTCCTCTCCTCATCATCCATTTTTAAGATACCTGACCTCATTCCCCTATAAGAGAGCCATATCTTCTGTGCCTTCCCCAGCTCCTCCTCTGAGGATCAGGATCTTTTCTGAGCCTTTCATTGTTTCTGAATCCTGTCACAAACTGAGCACAGAAGGACTGAGACTGTGATCTCCCACTCCTACCTCTATCTTAAAAAAAAAGCCAGCTCTGCCCCACATTAGGACCACACCAAACTCTTTTACTGTCTCAAGCCTGACTTCTTTAAAGTGTGGAGGGCATGTGCAGGCAAAGATGATGATTTGCACTTTCATATAATCACAGAATCATCAAGGTTGGAAGAGACCTTCAAGATCACCTAATCCAGCCATCAACCCAGCACCACCATTTAGACCCCTACACCACATCCCTGAGTTCCACATCCAGACACCTCTTGAACACCTCCAGAGAAAATGACTCCACCACCTCCCTGGGCAACTTATCCCAATGTCTGACCACTCTTTCAATGAAAAAATTATTTCTAATGTCTAATCTGAATCTCCCCTGGAGCAGCTTAGGGCCATTCCCTCTTGTCCCACCACCTGAGACATGGAAAAGTGCCTGACCCTCACCTCACTATAACCTCCTTTCAGGCAGCTGTAGAGAGCAACTTTCTCTTCCCACAGAAGCTGCAGAGCAGAGACCCTTGGGTGGGGTGAAGGGCCAGGAACCACGTCTGGTGTCACAGCACTGCTGCAGGTGGAGGGGAACATTTCTGAGCACACACAGTGTCTTACAAGGTGGTACCACTGCTGTGCCTCACACCGGGCAAGCATCACCTGGAAAACATCCTGGGTCTCACCCTGTGCTGCTCATGTTCAGAGATGCTCTCCACCCAACAGGTGTGGCACAACATGGACAGCTCTGTGTCTGAAGGGGAATACAGGGCTGAGATGCTCTGCTTGGTTTCTGCTGGTGCTGCCATGGCTTTTCCAAATGTGGCTACTCACCTCAGACTAAGAGACTCCATGCAGGTCTGCATTAGAGTGATTTTTTCCCCTCATTTTCAAACATCTGAGTCATTTTCCACATGTTTATGAGACTCCTGTGTATCCATTGCCAAAAATTTCGCCAGCCTGGAACACCTATAGGTCACCCACAGCACGGTGTTCAGGAATTACCAGTCAGGCCATCTGAGCCCCAGTGTATTTGTGCTGCTCAGAGACTCCTTTTTTCCATTCAGAAGGGGAAGTGGCTTTATGGCACATCATGACAGTCCATGAGTTACCAGAATTGTATGGCATTTGGTGAAATATTAACTCTCTGTCTGCATGTTGGCAATGTATCCTAAACAAGCAGGACAGCCGGGAAGGGGGTGAAAGTGGGAGCCAACAGGAGTGGGGTGGAACCAGTTCCAGACAGAAAGGGATTGTGTGGTGGTTATTTTCTTGCTCTTTCAGCTGTTTACATTTGGTGTCCATGTTTGTCGTTCTGGGATTCAGGCAGGATTTGAAGGGAAAGTGTGTATCCCTTAGGGACAAACTGACCTGGGGGGAAAGGCAGACTTCTAAATGCACAAGTCTTTTCTCAAGATTATAACAGAAGCACCAAAACTAAGTGGAGACTGAGAAAAATTGTTTTCAGCTAAGTTCTATCAGAAAAACTTGCCAATCAGTTCAAGAGATGAGGTGACCAGACAAATGGGACAGAAAAGGATGATCTAGGCACTGTGGGACAGAGAGAGGCTGGCATGCACAGCACAAAGTTAGATTTGAAATGTAGCAGAAAACTGTGTCAATGAACTCCAGTTGTCTCCAAATGTGGCAGCTATATTGGCTGCTGGGCATTTAGAGAGGATAAGACACATCATCCAAGCTTTGGTGGCACTTGGAACTGAACTGCAGGTCCCTTTGCAGCACTGCTGGGGTCCAGGCTTGGCTCCCAGACACGAGGCACATCCAGAGCTGGACTGAAGTCCCTCTGCTTGCTGGCTGAGAGTGCTGGGCAGTGCAGGCAGCATCCCCAGGCTCTGCAGGATGCATGAGCTGAGATAAGGACCCGGCTGTAAGTCTGCAGGGAGTTTGGGAGTCCCTGAGAGCAGGAGTTCAGCTTCACATACGTGCTTGAGGAGAGGAGAGGCCAGGCAGGAAGAAACTTCAGTAAATGCTGGCAGAAGGAAAGTCATTCCTCCTTTTTATCAGGTGCTGATGCATGTTGGAGCAGGAGTGCCCTGTCCAGAATGATCAGAGTGGGGGACACAGTGAGAGCATGAATTCTCCACTCCAGAGTGCTTTGACCCCAGGAAGGCCTGGGGCTCTCTTGCATTGCACATGCACTCCCCATGCCTTTCACCCCCTGGCTTTGTGGCAGCCTGAACACAGAGCTCTCTGCACCAAGAGCAGGAGCTGTCTGTATCTGGGTCCTGCTCACAACTGTCTCTAAATGACATCAATTTCTAGATGGAAAGGGAGTGTCACAAAGACCATCCTTACACTGCTCTGCTTCTGTGGGCCTGCCCCTCTTCTTGCTTTCTGATGAGGACCTGTCTTCAGGTGAGGAGCTTTCTCAAAGCTGCCAACCCATGAACCTCAGGTGTAGAGAATTTTTCATGGCAGGTGTGGTGCCCCCCACAAAAGACATGCTGTGGAACCAGCGCTGGGAGAACACTAAATTTGAACTACTCTAGATGAGGCACATTGGCTCCCTGTAACAAGATCCTTCCCTGGACAGACAGCAAGCAGAAGAAGATGGTTTAGGCATGTTTTAGTGAGGTGGGAGGGTCAAGGTGTCCCCCTTTGGATTCTTTCTCTTGGATATTCCCATTGCCCTGTGTGATCCCCTCATATCTTTATCAGCCAAGGAAGATGCAGTCCTGAGTTCTGGCAAATAACATTTCAAACAGTAAGAGAGCTTCCTCCTTCAAACTCTCACACAGGTGCTGTGAGTGCTGGCCAGCCAGGAGGAGGTTTCCATTTATCCAATTCCAATTATCTCTGTGCCAAAAAGGCATTTGTAGGCTAGGACACCTATTGCCCATCACCCCATGTGCCAACCCAAAGTCTGGCTGCTCCAGGTTGGATCGCTGGGTATCACCAACCATTGGTCATCAGGGAGCTCCTGTGGTCTGCCCCATCCCTCCTCTCCTCAGAGGGTTTGTGTTTCCCCAGCCAGAGGTGTCCATGGTTCACTCTTGCCCATGCATGCCAGCCAGCCTGAGGGAGTTTTCTATAATTAGAAAATGTCAAACCCACCCAGATAGCCCATCCACATCAGACACCCCTGTGCTTACAAAAACCCCTCACCATGTCCTCCAAAGCTGCAGCCATGCCCAGACCAGAACCAGAGGTGCCCTGCTCCCTGTCAGCCCCAGGATGTGGAGGCATCACTGTCTGGAGCCCCAGCTGCCAGGAAGGAGACCTTGGCGTATTCCTCTAAATGAATACAAAAAGGAATTTGGATTTCAAAAGAAAAGTCCAAGCTCTGGAGGCTGAACCTCCTACCAAGAATGACGGAGCTGCTTCCCAGCAGGCTTGATTTATCTGGGAAGCATGTTGGGAAGCCCGGTGGGGAGGATTAGAAAGAACACGCACACCTGATGGCAATGCTCTGAGTCCTGCAAGGGCGCCAAGGCCTTACGTAATGCTGGGATCCAGTTGTGATCCCCTGGCAGGGTGTCTGGCTGCTGGTGGTTTCTAGGTGCAGTAACAACATACCATGTGCATTCTGGAAGAGTCGTGTGTCAGTCTAATTAACGACTTTGTGGTTTGTGAGCACTTACCTAAAGCAGATGGGCACTGTGTCTGTTCCTCTGCCAGGCAGAAAGAGTCCAAGGTATTTCAAAGTGAGCAGGTGCTATAAATTATAATTACCAAGCTTGTCGAGGTAGAGAAAGCAGAGAGAAAAGAAAACTGGTGGATTAAGAGATCAAGATAAACTCCTGGGTTTTCTCTTTCAAATGCCTATGGAAAGCTTTTTTGGGAGTTTCTTGCAGATCAGCATTTTGGGAAGGTGCTTAGCATGTGTCTGGCTCTTCAGTGTGAGTATTGTCTATATCAGCCTGGTGGGGGGAAGGGAGGATTTAGGGCCAGGCAGAAGAGTTAAAGCTTCAAGATCCTGCACCATGAGATCAAGCTTCCCTTGTCTCCTTTCCACACTGCACTTTGGGTTTTCCCTCGTGTCCCTGGCAAGATGCTCCATTCTGCTGGCAAACCTTGTGGGTCATTCCCTAGCTCTGAATCCCACAAGGATTGACTCTCTTGCTGTTTGGCTTGATGGCATCCAGGAAAACAACCTGTGGCTGTGTCTCCATCTGTCTTCTGTCTCCTGACAACTCCTCCTGTGTGCAAGAAAGCATCTGCTTCCCTCTGTGCCAGCATGTGTCAGTCCCCTACAGCCAACCACACTCTGCTACCTTGTGGCTCCTGCACCCAGTGCAGAGGTAGCCACAGACGGTGGGCAACAGCTTGACAGGCCCCATTCTCTGTGATCCTGTCCTTGCTCTCATTTTAATTCCCATTTCTCCATCACAGCTTTGCATCCCTCTGGAATATTTGCAAAATTCTCCTGCCACTCTGCCACAAACCTGCTGCTCCCAGCTGAAATCAGCCACAATCAGAC